CTAATTTTTTACTTTTTTGTTCCAAATAAAGGGAAAAACCCCTGATTAAAAGATTAAGGATTTAAAACTTAGAAGCCTGTCTTTGTGAGACCCTGGTTTCTGGTCTCCACCTCCAACCAATCGAACTCTGCTTTATGATTCTGAGCTTCATCATGATATATGTGGATGACATTGATCATGTTATCCTCTCTCTCCCAAAACCAACTAGGAAAATTGATGAGTTTAATTTTGATATGCATTTATTTACCCTTTTTGAGCTTAGAATTTAATTTTATAGGTCCTTTGTAACTTAATTTCACCTTCCTTTACATTTATTTCATTGTTTGTATTAATTTCATTGTTTGTAGGTGAAAATTAAGATAAAAATTAATTTTGCAATAAGTGATAATTTACACAAACTGCAGTAATTTAACTATATCTTTTTCTTCAGGCATCGGATTGAGATGATTCTTGAGGCGTTGGAAAGCTAAAAAGCAGAGCTACAATTGATCTTTTAGGAGCTCAACCCAGTTCTACTTGTATCAATACATATTTTCAGTTAAATTGCATGATTCCACAGTGAACAAATTACAGAAAATAAAAAAAATTGGACTGTGTTGCCAAGGTGTGGGCCGACAGCATTACAGGCCCAAAATAAAGCCCATGTCTGCTCGGCTTAGAAGAAATAAGGGTTAATATATATATGCTGCTCGGCACACCGAAAAGCGGGAACAAACAAGAAGCCCGAAATTGCTCTGAGAAAGCAAAAAACCCAAATCTGTCCGCATAAAGAGAACGCCCAATCTGTTAGAAGATAGCCCCACAGCCGAATCTGCTCTGCACAGAAGGGAGGACGCCCACCCAGATCTGTTCGCAAAAGAGCCAACGCCAACCAGTCTCTGTTCTTCTCCGCCAGCTTTGTTTGGGAGGGACAGCAGCACGAGTTTGGCTTGTTCTTCATTGGACGGGTGTTGTTGATTCTTAACTTGAATTTTTTTATCATGATTTTCTGCTGGGATTATCGAATTATGGCTGTTTAGGACATAAATATGTGTGGCTAGATTTCTTTGAACTAAGGATGGATGGATTTTAATTTTTGGATTTTGTGACTATTCTTTTTAGTTTAATTCAAGATTTATTGGTTATTTACATGATGAGTTTATATTATTGAACTTAATGCATTGTAAGCAGGATTACCTTTCTGTTGGGATTAGGCCCGACACCCACTTCGGGCCACCTATAACAGGCCCAATTATGCACACGCAAACTCAAGAGGAGGAGACATACCCACGTAAGCAGCACCACGTGGACCAATGAGTTACCTACATGTATGAATACATGTCAGTGTTTGGGGCTATAAATACTCCCTAACTACCAACAATGAAGGTAATTAATTTCTACGCTTCTCCCTCTGCAATTACTCCTTGAGAGCATCTCTCGCTAGAATACTGAGTATTGCTGACTTGAGCGTCGGAGTGTTTCCCCGAGGAAACAACCTCGGGATTTTCAGGTGCAGAAGCAGCTGAGGATTTCAACAGTGTTGGACCGCGAAGCTGCCGAAACATTGGCGCCGTCTGTGGGAATCCGAACAAGAAGTTGTGTAACTTAACCTGCTGAAAGACAAAATGGTTCGAACTTTTACAGGAGGTCGCCCCCCAAGGAACGAGGTGGACGAACAGGAGGACGCTCAAGTATCTGAGCCCGGATTGAATGACTTTAGGCCAATGCCGAGAAACCTCTTCGTCGGGGGAGCCGAACAGGATCACCTAAGTGAGACAGATGACGAAAGAACACCAACTGGGTATGCAACCCAGCCTGAACAGTTCCAAGTTCCAAGTTCCAACAGGAACAAGACAAAGACCTTCTAGACCGTACAATTCACAGCGTGAACGACCTGAAAGGTCAACAAAACCTGCTCGGACAACCGAGCTCGAAGAGAGAACCAGAGTTCTCGAAATGGCAATGGGAAAAATCCTTGCCCGTCTGATTCCTGATGACCCCCTGATTACTTTGTTGAACAGGAATGCGCAACCAACTGCGGTTGTTGCAACTCGAAATTCCCCCACTCTCAGCAACATAGTAGTGCCGACCAGGCCAAGGGGAAGTGGGAAGTTGAATATCGAGCCCAGCTCGTCCAAACATAGTGAAGAACTGATGAGGAAGAACGCAGATCTTGAAAGGCAGCTGCGGGACGTACAAAAGTCTATAGACAAGCTGAAAAGTCCCAGGTCACATCAACAGACTCTGGATTTGGATAGTGCACCACTAAACTTATCCATTACGGCAGAGCCGTATCAAGAGGGATTCAAAATTCCCCACCTGGAGACATATGATGGCACGGGTGACCCTGATGAACATCTGCACACCTATCAAGCCATCATGAGAATCCAAAACGCCAATGATGCCATGATGTGCAAAGTGTTCCCAGCAACGCTCAAGTCAACAGCCAGGAGATGGTATCACAAACTCCCCAGACATTCAATAAATTCGTTTTCCCAGCTCGCCAAGCTGTTTTCTAACAAATTTGCGAGCCAAAGAGACATCAAGCGCACAGCAACTGAGCTGATGCAAGTTAACCAGAAGGAATGGGAGTCTTTGAGGGATTACATGCAGCGGTTCAACAAAGCCACCTTGGACATTGATAATGTCCCAAACACGATTTGCCTGTCCGCCCTGTTGCACGGGTTGAAGCGTGGCCGGTTCCTAGACGACCTGCTTGAAAACCAGCCGAAGACGTGGAACGAGGTGAATGACAGGTCGGCTAGCTTCATACTGTCAGAGGACTTTCAATCGTCCAAGCGACGAGCTGATGATAAGCCGAGCAAAGGCAAGGAACAACAACCAAGAAGAGAAGAGAAGAAGAAGCAGAAGGTCAATGAGCAATGGGGGAAACCAGTTGAGTTCCCGAAATATGCCAGTTACATTCCTTTGACCTTACCTAGGTCTCAAATCCTGGCACAAATTCAGCACTGGGTTAGGAGACCTCCACCCCCACTACATGATTCCCCGAGGGCAGATAAGAGCAAGCATTGTGACTACCACCATGTATATGGTCACAATACAGAGGACTGCCAACACCTGAAGGACGAGTTAGAGTTTTTGGCTCGTAACGGGAAGCTAGAAGGGTATGTTCAGAAGCCTCACACCCAGCAACCCGCTCAAACCCATTTTGTACAGGCGTACGACAGACCTCAAGGACAGAGGTACCAGCATGGTGGGACACAAGACGCATATCAGGATAACCAGTATCCTTCTGAACAGGGCAGAGCATACCGAGGATGTCCTTTCAACAGGAGAGGACAGGGACCGAGAACTACCGCCCCGAATCAAAAAGACAGGAAAGGGGTAGGTTATGCTGGGATACCCCCACCTTCTGGTACCATAAACATGATATCGGGTGGTGTTCACTCTGGGGGCCAAAGCGCCCGAGGTCGTAAGACGTATGCACGCCAGGTGATGACAGTTAACAAAAACAGACCTTTGAAACGCCCGTTTGAAGAAGCAGAATAGGAAAATGCGCCCATCACATTCAGCCCGGCAGACTATAAGTGAGCAGAAGGAGAGCCCGACGTTATGATGCCGCATGCAGACCCTTTTGTGGCAACGGTTCATATAGGCAATCATAATGTCAACAAAGTCTTTGTTGATACGGGTAGCTCGCCGGATATCCTGTATTGGAGTTGCTTTCAGAAAATGCAGCTGAATCCAAACTCACTGCAGAAATATGAAGGGCCTATATATGGGTTCGACAATCAGCCCGTCCTGGTTGAAGGAATCATTACCCTACCCATCTATGTGGGCTCAAAGCCACGGTTTAGAATGGCTTCCGTTACCTTCCTGGTCGTCAAGATGGAGTCAGCTTTCAACGCTATACTGGGACGAGCTACCCTTTGCGAGCTGAAGGCTGTCATCTCACAACCTCATCTCTGCATGAAATTCCCAACTCCTCAGGGGGTAGGAGTGCTTAAAGGGAACCAGAAGATGGCAAGAACATGCTACCAAGATACCTTTAAGAAGGTTGAGCTCGCTGCTGCCCCTACAGATTCTGAAAATCACAAACCAACCCAGCTCGCTCAGCAAACAATGAGCATTTCGGACATTGAACACCGACCTGAGGGTGTCGAGCAGAAAGCAGAGCCAGTGGAGCCGGTAGAAACAGTCCCTCTGAACCCTGATGTGCCGGAACGAACGGTTAAGATCAGCACCAAACTCACAAAGGAGGAACGGGCAGAGCTTCTGAAGTTTTTGAGGGACAATCAAGACATGTTTGCGTGGACTACGGATGAAATGCCGGGCATCCCTGCAGAGTTGACAGTCCACAAGCTAAGCACGGATCCCACCAGAAGGCCGGTGGTACAGAAACGTAGCCTTTTCGGCCCGGAGAAGCAAGCTGCCATAGACGAAGAGATAAAAAAGTTGCTACAAGCAGGCTTCATCAGAAGAGTGGAGTACTCTGAGTGGGTGTCCAACCCTGTGCTCGTCAAAAAACCAAATGGCAAGTGGAGGATGTGTATTGATTTCACCAACCTCAATGATGCATGCCCAAAAGACCCTCATCCCTTGCCAAATGTCGAGAAGTTAGTAGAGCGGGCAGCAGGACACGAACGGATGAGCTTCCTTGATGCCAGTTCAGGTTATCATCAGGTCCAGCTGTTGCTAGACGACCAGGAGAAAACAGCTTTTTACGCTGGTGATGCAATCTACTGCTACGTCATGATGCCGTTTGGCCTCAAAAATGCTAGAGCAACATACCAAAGCCTAGTGCAAATCATCTTTAAGCTCCAGATCGGCAGAAACCTAGAAGTATATGTGGATGACATGATAGTCACCAGTGTGCGAGCTGAGGATCACATAGGCGACTTGGATGAAACTTTTCAAAACTTGCGCCGAGCACAAATGAAGCTGAATCCCTTGAAGTGCACGTTTGCTGTGGAATCCGGGAAATTCCTAGGGTATGTGGTATCCAAGAAAGGAATTGAAGTAAATCCAGAGAAGGTGCAGGCCGTTTAGCAGATGGAACCCCCCAAGACAGTAAAAGATGTACAGCGTCTGACAGGTTGAGTGGCTGCGTTGCACAGGTTTATAGCCAGATCGGCAGAAAGGTGCCTTCCGTTCTTCAAAGCTCTGCGGGAGCCTAAAAACTTTCAATGGACTGATGAGTGTCAACAGGCGTTTGACGAACTCAAACGGTATTTGGCATCTGCACACCCCTGCTGTCCAAGCCTGTCGAGGGGGAATGTTTATATTTGTATCTGGGGGTCATAGAAGAGGCAGTAAGTTCGGTCCTATTAAGGGAAGAGAATAAGAGACAGAAGCCTATCTGCTATGTGAGCAAGGTATTACAAGGTGCCGAGCAGAACTACCCACTAGCAGAAAAGGCTGCTTTTGCTTTGGTCTGCACGGCTCGTAAGTTGAGAGCCTATTTTCAGTCTCATCAGATTGTTGTCTATACCGATCTGCCATTGAGAAAAATATTGCAGAAACCTGAACTCTCTGGTCAGCTTATTGGATGGAGCGTCGAGCTGAGTGAATATGACCTGAAGTTTCAGCCGCGCACAACCATAAAAGGCCAAGCCATTGCAGACTTTCTGGTAGAATGCATCTCGGCGACGGAGGTAGACAAGGCGCTTGATTACCCAGCCTGGGTTCTGTATGTTGATGGAGCTGCTAACATTGAAGGGTCAGGTGCTGGGGTTGTGTTGATAGGCCCAGATGGCTTTAAATCTGAGCATGCATTGCGGTTTAAGTTCCAGACCACTAATAATGCTGCTGAGTATGAAGCCCTCATCTATGGTTTGAAGCTGGCGTCCGAGATGAAGGTACAGAGCATACAAGTTTTCAGTGATTCTCAGCTCGTGGTGGCCCAAGTAAATGGCAGCTGTGAAGTTAGGGATCCCCAGCTTGGCCGTTACACCTCTGTGGTCAACAGATTGAAGTCAAGATTTGCTTCATTTCAGATCGACAAAATACCAAGAGCTGACAACCACCGAGCTGACGAGCTGTCAAAGTTGCCCTCCTCGCGGGACTTTAACCCTCAGAGGTCAACCATCGTCGAAGTGCTGGACGCTCCGAGCTAAACTGATTTCACGATCGAGTGTCAGCTACTAAGCACAGATCCCTCCACGCTGAGCTGGACCACCCCACTCATAAATTATCTGCAAAGTGGCGAGCTACCTGAAGATCTGTCCGCTGCGAAATTGGTTAAACGAAAGGCAGCACGTTTCACTTTGTTAGATAACCAGCTCTACAAACGAGCAGCCTCAATGCCCTTATTACGCTGCCTTACTCCTTACGAAGCTGAATACGCTGTGAGAGAAGTTCACGAAGGAGTATGTGGCACGCACATCGGTGGCAAAATTTTAGCTCGGAAGCTCCTGAGGCATGGTTATTACTGGCCTACTATGGTCGAGGATGCGCAGAACTATGTCAAAAAATGTCCAACCTGCCAGTTCAACGCTGATGATATACACATGCCAGGGGAAATGCTATCCTCTCTTACATCTCCCTGGCCCTTTGCTCAATGCGGTGTCGACCTGCTCGGCCCTTTCATCAAAGGCAAAGGAGGCTGCACTTTCCTGGTCGTTGCAGTGGATTACTTCACTAAATGGATAGAAGCTAAACCTTTGTCCACGACAACAGAAAGGAAAATAGAAGAATTCTTGTTCAATTCAATATTGTGCAGGTATTCTTTGGTGATTTCGGTCATAAATAAAATATATGCAAACGTAGTTCATCGCTCAGCTCGGTCATCTGTGCGCAGGTTCGGCATACCTAAGCGGATTATCGCCGACAATGGGCCGCAGTTCCGAGCAGCAGCACTGAGATCGTTTTGTAATGATTATGCCATCGAGCTTGCCTTGACGTCTGTGTACACTCCACAGTCCAATGGACAAGCCGAGTCTGCCAATAAAATCGTCTTGCAAGGCCTCAAGACACGTGTTTTGGCTGCGCATTCTAATTGGGTTAACGAGCTCAATAAAATGCTTTGGTCTTGTCGCACGACACCCAACTCGGCCACGGGTGAAACCCCTTTTAGCCTGGCCTATGGAGCTGAAGCCGTCATTCCAGTAGAGATTGGATTGCCATCTGATCGAGCAGGCTGGCATGGCGACCTAAACAATGAGCAACTGATGAGAGAAAACCTAGACTTCGTAGAAGAGGTCAGGGAGATGTCCAGAATAAGAAACATGGCGCATCAAAGTCGTGTGGCAAAATTTTACAATAAAAGAGTTCGAGCTCGCCAGTTTCAAGTTGGCGATCTGGTTCTACGCAAAGCTGGATTGACGAATGCTTATTCGCACATGGGCAAGCTCGCGCCTAATTGGGAAGGACCTTATATGGTTATTTCTATTCAACGGCATGGGTCTTACCGGTTAGCAGATTTACAAGGTCGCCCATTATCATTCATTTGGAACATACATAACCTCAGGAAGTTTTACAGTTAGGAGTTAACTTTACAGTTAATATGTATGTTACAAGTGTTCAGGTCGTTATGGATCAACTGTAAAAGGCATTTCATAGAGAAATCAACACACAGAACGTTCAAAAAAGAAATTCAATTTGTATTTCGTCAATGATCATTTACAGTTGAAGTACATGACATCTAACGTCATTGATCAATACAGGTAATAAAAAGAAAAAAATACAAAAAGTCAAAAAATAAAACCCCTAAACTAGTCATCCGTCAGGTCGACGGGGATGGATGCGTTGTCCGGGCCAGCAGCAGGAGACCGAGCTGGTGACGACCGATCTGGAGGAGGGACAGGAGAGCGAACAGGAATAGCACCTGATGCGAACTGAGGCTGAGCAGAGGGGGGAGTACTGGAAGGCTCAGCAGACACGTCATGGGGGCCCGCCACCCAAGCATCGAAGCTCGGCAACCCCTCTGTGTCCTCTCCCTCCTCAACAACAGAGGGGGGCCACACGAGCAACCCCTCCTCGTTAAGCTCCCACTTCAGCTTCACCCTGGTATCCGCTGGCTGGGCAAGACTTTTCCCGTCAGCATCGATCTCCTCGCCCTCGAAGAAGGCCAGCTCGCAGATTGGGAAGTCTGCCCGGACCCCCAACACCTTCCCACGAACTTCATTGAAAATGTCCGTGGTGGTGTTGGCTGCAGCCACTGCCACGGCGTCCTGGAACATTTCCGCCCCCACCAGCCACTCAGCCTCCTGTGCCCGGGCAAAACAGAGGTCGCGCTGGTGGAGCCTCTTGCATTTCTCCAAGGACGCCTCAGCTTGGGCGACATGTTGGTCAGCTTGCGAGACCCTCTCTGCCATGGCACTCAGCTCGTGCAGAGTCTTTTCCCGTTCTGCTTCTGCCTTCTTGGCGCGGTCCTCTGCACGACTGGCCTCCTCCCTAGTAGCCTGGATGCCACTTTCCCTCTCCACTTGGGCCCTCACGAGCTCCTCCTTCAGCTCATCAACCTTACGGGCCAGCTCCTCGGCTCGGCTTTCGGCTGATGCTGCTCGATCTGCCATCTCCGAGCTCTGCAAACAACTGACCTCGTCAGTCAAGCTGGCTTTTTCAGTTGCCAGTTGTTTGCAGGTTTTCTGGAGCTCGTTGTTCTGCGCCTTGGCCCCCTGCTCGCACTCGAAGAGTGCGACAGTGTAGCTGAACGCCTGCAACACATGTTCACTCGTCAGTTTATAACAAAAACAAGGTAAAACGCAGTAATGAGCTCACTAAGTATACTTACATCCATCAACTTT